AAAGTACGTCAGAGCTTTCGCTGCCCGTAACCTTCTTGGGTACTCTGAAAAGCTTACGTTCGCCATCGTTATCCTGCAACACACCGCAACACAATCCATTTTCCTTTCCCGTTTCTCTTCCCAGACCATATGGGCCAATAATACCCTCCACTTTTGTATTCTAGTCTTCTAATATTATGAGAGTTTCATGTGACTTGGATTGCTTTGGTTCGTGTAAACCATAATGATATTTGTAGTTAACTGCCCAGAAAATGATGAACATTATTGTCAGTAATATTTCTCAAAAATACAATCTACTCCTTTTTACGTTTTATTTCCTCCAGACTAAATATAGTTTTCCCTATCTCTTCACTACCCCAATGCCACACCTTGTCAACTACTCTGCTGCCAGAGGAGTTGACATGGTGTGTTATATATATATATATATATATATATATATATATATATATATATATATATATATATATATATATATATATATATATATATATATATATATATATATATATATATATATATATATATATATATATATATATGCATATATATATCATATCATACATACACACACAATACAAACAATTTATACTTATCCTTAATGCGATCTTCAGGCACGAAAGTCGACCTGCGAAAGAACGCCGAGTCGACTGCATCCGTGACGCGGCGCGAGGGGCGTCGTCTCGCCGCTCGACTCGGCATGAGGAACTACGTCGAGTGCTCGGCCAAGACCGGCCACGGCTGCCAGCAGGCGTTCAGAACTGCTATTGAGGCGACGACATCCAAACCGATCTGCGTCCTGCTCTAATATGACGTGCACATGCGTTAACATTTGCGTTACGTTTAATCACTCTCTTCGAAAGAGTTTGTGTTGATATATTGTTTGTGTTGATTCCTTAAAGTAATGAATTAAAGCATCACATGACCTTTGTAGTTTCTTTAGGAGTTATTTTTTAGTTGTCGACGTTGTGTCCGGATAATTATTTGTTTGTAAACTGGAGGAGAATGGTTAACAGATGTTAAACAAGAAAGCACTCAAAGAACACAAAGCCCTTATCTTCCAAAGACATTTATAAAAAATAGTGAGGCATAAGAATAAATGACTAGCTTCACATTATAAAAGTATACCATAAATCCTCTAAAGAAACGAATTTCCCACAGCTAGCAAATCCATTTTCTATAATAGACCTCACCATTAATACACAAAATAAGCTAGACCAACTTGTAAATGATTCGTCGTTAGACGTGACAACCCTACCTTAATCACAGTCTTTCAGCAACTTTTCCATACTACAGTTAACAAGATAATATGGACAGAAAATGACATCAAGACATTTCCTGAACAATGGTAGAATTGCAAATCTGTACGCGTGTGGTGTGTGTAAGTAAGAGAGAGAGAGAGAGAGAGAGAGAGAGAGAGAGAGAGAGAGAGAGAGAGAGAGAGAGAGAGAGAGAGAGAGAGAGAGAGAGAGAGAGAGAGAGAGAGAGAGAGCGAGAGAGAGAGAGCGATATACCTATATCTAAGAGTACACACCTTATTTTCTAGTACTTCAGATACCATGACATATATGATACACATTAAAGCTAATATGGAGTTAATTTGCTTGTCTTCCCTAAAGCTACTTGAGGGGTTATTACACTTTATTACACTACCGGTTTTTATTACTCTTCTTCCTCTACCAACCTAACAACAGAACAGTCGTGCAACATTGCTTTCCTTCCATGCTTCTGGTGCAAAGAATGTTTAGCTAGGGTGTCTCTCCCAAATTCTCAATGAAAACAGGCCTTCTCAGTTCACTATTCTACACATGTTAGGCTGATAAAGAGAGGCCTTGAAGAAGAGTGCGTTATCGGATACTGTGACCAAGGAAAATGAATTTGGACTGACCCAGAGAAAATGAGTGTAGTCTCAACCTAAACTATTCTAAATTTCGTGTACTTTCAACATTTTACGTGCCTTTTGTTTGAATATTGCATTTTTTATTGTTTTTTAGAATAAGATTAATAGTAAAAAAATAAGCGTGTTGACTCTCTTAGAACTATAACAAAGGATAATAACACAATATGGAATCAAATTCAAGATTATCACTTTGATCAGATCTCGGTAAACTATTCGGAGAACCAGGGGAGGCAGAGCTCAAACCTTATTTGCCCAAATCCTGCTTATTTTTACAGAGTGAAAATCTATACTCTATGTATATTTGTCTTCGAAATTTGTTAAGTAATATTGTACCCCTTTGTGCTTTGCGAACGACATGTAAAACGATGTGTAAAAATTTAAACTAACTAGCAAACACGCAATAAGTATACCAATGCTGCTATCTTGTACGACCACGTGCGTGTAATTGAGACTCTTATTATTGGAGTTTATGTTTCATGTCCACAAACAAAACACAACCGAGAACAGAATATTTGGCGTAGAATGTTTATAAGTTTAAGTTTGCTGAAATTCGATCATGGATAGGCCTGTCATTCCGTTATATTATAGATAGCCTCATTAGTATAAACTAGGTCTATTCTAGTGTCGTAGAAATATGTCCTTTTCAGGTTCAAATAACGAGACATCACTATAGGAGACATTGGGTTAACGTACCTTATATTCACGTTTGAATATAATCTGTCATTGTCAGACACAGTCGAACCTGCCAAGCGTTTCCAATGTCCAAATAAGTGTTCTATAACCTTCGTTGCGTTTCTCAAATGCGACGGAACGTATTTTATTATCTTTTGTATATTAGAATCATCTGATGGTATTTTTTTTTTTTTAAGTTAACCATAGATTTAGTCTGGTTTTCTTTGATATCCTCATTCAAGTTCCTAATTTATAAGGGCTTACAAGTTTTTTTTTCGAACTGAAACAATATATTTACTCAGTCCTTATCCTTCCACTGATCCACACCAGAATTTTTTTTTTTTTTAGGGGGGGGGTACTTTTGAATCTGAAATAAATTGATGAACGCAAATGTATGATGTAGACAATGTATGTCAGTTTTTTTTTTCTTTTTTTTTAGAATGAACGTGCTCAATACTACATTAGTATAATATATGATTAGACATTATATACAACTTTTTAATTAATTTGAAATTAACTTAATCTATATATTTGTTGATTATCTTATATGTGGCAGAGCGCCGGCCTGAGACACTTTTCATTCTCAAATTTTAGTCTCACAATCGAAGAGAGTGATGACGTGTTATTATTATGGCCACCCTCGTCACTATTCATGTTAACATTAGTTAATTATTTCTATTTTTGACGTAATCATAGTAATCTCTTATGTTACTATTATTATTTACATCAGTTTTATTAATATCATATTCAGTACTACTATATAATCATGACTAATACAGTAATCATTATTACTGTTACCATCATTAGTACCATTAGCATCATAAATTGCCATTTAATATTAACATCAAATTTGTTATTCCGATTATCTCTCTCAAAAATACTATTAGTATTTTACCATCTTATCAGTTCAATTGCCATTAATATAGTTACCATTCTTATATGTCTGTCTCACTCACTTTTCATGTATTTCCATTGAGTCAAAATTGTCTTAAGGGCCCCGTTAATCAACCAAACGTTCGATTTGATGCTGGCTCAGATCGTGCTAGCTTCGTTGACAGAGGTGAGTAATCAGTTTTGAATTCCGAGATGAGTATTATCTTCCGTATCTTAAGAAATAAAATGGTGGTGAAGGCAAAAAAAAGGATAAAGTTCAATAAAATAAAGATTATTATATTTTTTTATTTTCGGATATTATGTTTATTGTTGAATACGTTGCAGATTTTTTTTTTAGTTTTGAAGGATCAGAGTAGCAAACTGTGTGTAAGATGTTAAACATCTTACATACAGTACATTTTGTACATTAGTAGGTAACAACAACCACTACGTACTAATCTGTTCAAATACTCTTACACCATTAATGCAAATATATGAAATGTATTAACAATATGACGGACAAGGAAAATATTAATTTTGATAACCTGAATATGTCATGCTAAAGGGAGGCATGATCAGGCTTTATACAGACCTTGGCAAAGATATGAAAGTTTAGCAATTTTGCATGTGTGAACCTTAATACTAAAATTATTCTTATCATAATCTGTAAACCTTAACGCTAACAGCACCAATCTAGATTCCAGCATAGAGCACGAATTGATAAAACCATATGGAAATTATTACGCTAAAACGGCACATACACAAACGCTCACATACTGACGAGCATATACACAAATAAACATAAGCGCATTGTTTAAACACATACACCTATGTATATATATTTGACATATATATAAAGAACAGGAGAGAAATAAGTAGAGTTAAGAAATTATATCACTTATCCACATTACCTGAGGTAGTTACAGTGATAGACTAGCACAAACGTGCACTCGCCCACCATCACCATGCGTAAAAAGACATGGGGAATACATTACACCGACATTGTTAACTACATTATAGCTTTGCTTTACCTTCAATGACCATTGAGCATTGTCTTAACACAAGAATACATATTTTAAATTCACACTAAATGTGAATGCTATGCAAGTTTCGTGTGATCATTTATATGAATGATCCGTGTCACACTTAAGGCTGGGTCAGCATTGTCCAGAAGGTCTTCTGGTTAGCTTCCAGCCCAACAAGAATAAAGAGTTGCATCACTGACGACTTCCAGGCAAGTGAGTGATGATGATTCGGGAACTGGTTTCGGATGCTGTGGTCGGATGTTTATACGACGCCCTTAACAGCCTGCGGAAGACACGGGAGTCTGTGGTGACTATTACATACATTATGCAATGGATACAGTAATTAGCTTTTGCGGAATGGTCAGTAGTTCAATTTAGCGCAAAACAGTGTGCTTGCAACATTTAAACCAAAATGCTATCCCATATAATACTAAAAAAATAATTCATATCACCCCTTCAACTAAAGAAACTACTTCTCACTCCCATTAAACAAACTACTTCCCATCACCTATTCCAAACAAACTACGAACTACTTCCCATCAACTACATTCTATCACCTCTTCTAAACAAACTACTTCATCACTTCTTCAAAAAAAAACTACTTCCCATCACCTCTTCCAAACAAACTACTTCCCATCACCTCTTCTAAGCAAACTACTTCCCATCACCTCTTCTAAACAAACTACTTCATCACTTCTTCAAAAAAAAACTACTTCCCATCACCTCTTCCAAACAAACTACTTCCCATCACCTCTTCCAAACAAACTACTTCCCACTTCCCATCACCTCTTCCAAACAAACTACTTCCCATCACCTCTTCTAAGCAAACTACTTCCCATCACCTCTTCCAAACAAACTACTTCCCATCACCTCTTCCAAACAAACTACTTCCCATCACCTCTTCTAAACAAACTACTTCCCATCACCTCTTCTAAACAAACTACTTCCCATCACCTCTTCTAAACAAACTACTTCCCATCACCTCTTCCTAAACAAACTACTTCCCATCACCTCTTCCAAACAAACTACTTCCCATCACCTCTTCTAAGCAAACTACTTCCCATCACCTCTTCCAAACAAACTACTTCCCATCACCTCTTCTAAACAAACTACTTCCCATCACCTCTTCTAAACAAACTACTTCCCATCACCTCTTCTAAACAAACTACTTCCCATCACCTCTTCTAAACAAACTACTTCCCATCACCTCTTCTAAACAAACTACTTCCCATCACCTCTTCTAAACAAACTACTTCCCATCACCTCTTCTAAACAAACTACTTCCCATCACCTCTTCTAAACAAACTACTTCCCATCACCTCTTCTAAACAAACTACTTCCCATCACCTCTTCCAAACAAACTACTTCCCATCACCTCTTCTAAACAAACTACTTCCCATCACCTCTTCTAAACAAACTACTTCCCATCACCTCTTCTAAACAAACTACTTCCCAT